TAAAAGTCCATCCATGTTTCCCACATTGTTGGCAGGGGCCCAAACACTTGCGCCATATTCCTCTGCTTTCCCAGGAGCATTAGCAGGGTACCAGATAGGAAGTGGAGAAGCTGGGGCTCAAACCAGTACTCAAATGGGATGCCGTGATGCAGGCAGTGGTTTAACCCACTGTACCATATTGCCAGCCCCTGGGGTTTGATGTTGAATATCAAGAAAAAGTCATCCAAGCTCAAAACAGCTAAAACCAAAGAGTTATATGCATGTCCCAGTGCTCCCTGCCCCCAGCTGATAGGGGCAGCACCATAAGCCCTCAGCACAGCCACCAGATTTTTTCTTTATTTAAAGATAGAGTATTAACAATTGCCTAGGAGCCTCTCTCATATTCCGACTACATCATTAGCCCCTCTTGAAAGTAACCACTCTGCCGGCGCTGCGGCTCACTAGGCTAATCCTCCGCCTAGCGGCGCCGGCACACCGGGTTCTAGTCCCGGTCGGGGCGCCGGATTCTGTCCCGGTTGCCCCTCTTCCAGGCCAGCCCTCTGCTGTGGCCAGGGAGTGCAGTGGAGGATGGCCCAGGTGCTTGGGCCCTGCACCCCATAGGAGACCAGGAAAAGCACCTGGCTCCTGGCTCCTGCCATCGGATCAGCGCGCTGCGCCGGCTGCAGCGGCGGCCATTGGAGGGTGAACCAACGGCAAAGGAAGACCTTTCTCTCTGTCTCTCTCTCTCTCACTGTCCACTCTGCCTGTCAAAATAAAAAAAAAAAAAAAAAAGAAAGTAACCACTATGCTGACCTCCTTCACTACACATGTGTGTCATCGGTTTGTAAATTCTGTGTATAATGAAGTAGATACTACTTTGAGCCTGGCTCCTTTTGTACAACGTTACTTATATGAGACTCATCCACATATTTTGCATTTAGTGAAACCTTATTCATTTTTATTTCTGTCTGGGATTCCATTGTCTAAATACATTGCCATCTATCAATCTACCATTGATAGTCTTTGCGTGTTTTCCAGTTTGAGAAACACCATAAATTGTTAGATTGGGAAAGAGTGCTGATGGTCAACTAACCTATCATCCATTAGAATGGGACAAATGGAGGCTCAAAATGTGAAATCATCTGCCCCCCCCCCCAAATTGTGCTTGAATTAGCCAAAAGAGCACATCATGAGGATGGGTGTTGTAGAGGAGAGCAGACAAGTAAGCCACGGCCCACTTCCCCTGTAGTAAATGTCACCTTGGCCTCCCCCTCCTCAGCCCACTCCAGCCATAGCAACATTTTCCTGAGGGTTCCCTGGTGTCAGATGCTATATTTGGTGCAGAGGAAGAGAAAACACACACAGTAAAAGAGAGACAGACACCTAAGTGGACAAATCACAATGCAAAAGTAAAGGAAAAATGTCATAAGGGCTGTCTGGAGGGCAAGGCTAAGTCTGTCTGGGGCTGAGGGTCATAGACACTGGAGTCTGGAGGAAACCTCTAAGCCTAGTATGCAGAGTTGGTTACAAATCTCTGAATGATTGAGGGGGATAGGTACACACAATGTTGATGATACACAGTACTGTGAATGTATTTAATGTTATTGGTTGTCTACAAATCAACAAAATGATAAATTTTATGTATATTTCACCACAATACATTGTATCTCTAAGCCATTCTTTTGTAAATAACTTACGTTAATTTTTAAATATTTATTTATTTGAAAGTCAAAGTTACAGAAAGATTGAGAGACAGAGAGATACAGAGACAGAGAGACTTTTCCATCCATAGGTTCACTCCCCAAATGATCACAATGGCCAGATCTGGGCCAGGACAAAGCCAGGAGACAGGAGCTTCTTCTGGTCTCCCACGTGGGTGCAGGGGTCCAAACACTTGGGCAATCCTCCACCGCTTTCCCAGGCACATTAGCAGGGAGCTGAATTGGAAGTAGAAGAACCAGGACATGAACTGTTGCCTGTATGGGATGCGAGCATTGCAGGCTTCACCTGCTATACCACAAGGCCGGCCCCTCATTAATATTTTTTTAGGTTTCTAATGTGAGTTCTTGTTTTTTTTATTGGCTCACTTGTTACCCTGAATTGGTCCCATTCATTCTTGAGGTCTGTTGTAGTTACACAGGTAGTACAAACCAACACTGGAGCATGAAGTCACTTTCAACTCTAAAGCACTCTGTGCCACTGATACAAGGGTGCTTTTCAAAGTCCATGGAAAATGGAATTGAAAGATAAGTTTGTTTTGGTGCAAAACAATTTGAAACCCTTGCATACGAGTGATTTTGAAAAAGTTTAAGAAAATGGATATTATGAAAAAAGTGTGGGGCCAGCATTGTAGTATAGTGGGTAAAGCTGCCATTTGTGATGCTGGCATCCCATATGGGTGCTGGTTGTTGTCCCAGCTGCTCCCCTTCCAATCTAGCTCTCTGCTATGGCCTGGGAAAGTAGTGGAAGATGGCCCAAGTCCTTGGGCCCCTGCACCCACATGGGAAATCCTGAAGAAGCTCCTGGCTACTGGCTTTGGATTGGCTCAGCTCCAGCCATTGCAGTCATTTGGGGAGTGAACCAGCAGATGGAAGACTTCTCTCACTCTCTCTCTCTCTCTCTGCCTCTCTTTAACTCTGCCTTTCAAATAAAATTAACAAATCTTTTAAAACACACACACACCCACACACAAGATGAGGGTCAGTGTTGCAGTGCACTGCCACCCCCCACTAATGCCAGTATCCTGTATTGTGAGCACTGGTTTAATTCCCAGCTACTCTGTTTCTGATCCATATCCCTGATAATGTTCCTAGAAAAGCAGCAGAAAATTATCAAGTGCTAGGGCCTTTTGCCACCTACTTGGGAGACCAGGATAGGGTTCTAGGCTCCTGGCTTCAGCCTGACACAAACCTGGCTGTTGCAGCCATTTGGGGAGTGAACCAGCCGATGGAAGATCTTTCTCTGTTCCTCTCTCTCTCTCTCTCTCTCTCTCTGGCACTATGCCTTTCAAATAAATAAAATAAATCTTAAAAAAAGAACCCCCTGGCCGGCGCCGCAGCTCAATAGGCTAATCCTCCGCCTGCAGTGCCGGCTCACCGGGTTCTAGTCCCAGTCGGGGCACCGGATTCTGTCCCGGTTGCCCCTCTTCCAGGCCAGCTCTCTGCTGTGGCCCGGGAGTGCAGTGGAAGATGGCCCAAGTGCTTGGGCCCTGCACCCCATGGGACACCAGGAGAAGCACCTTGCTCCTGGCTTTGGATCAGCGCAGTGCGCTGGCTGCAGCATGCCAGCCACAGCGGCCATTGGAGGGTGAACCAATGGCAAAGGAAGACCTTTCTCTCTGTCTCTCTCTCTCCACTCTACCTGTCAAAAAAAAAAAAAAAAAAAAAAAAAAAAAAAAAAAGGAACCCCCTAACCAAGATCAAAGTGGAATAGGTAGGTCCCAGCATTGGGAAATATGCATACAACGTGTGGCATTGGAACCTATCCCCTAGGATTCATCTCAAAGGTAGTATTCTATACAACATGAAAGAAAATGGTGAAGGCCTTGAATGCCAAGTCGAAAATCTTGCAAGTGAGAGATTATTGAATATGAGAAACCATTGAACAGTTAGTGTAGTGTAAAAGGATGGCATTGTCCAAGTAGTGTTTTGTGGAAAGGCTTATCTGTTCATGTATTGAATCCTTGGGAAGAGGTGGGAGGCAGAGAGCAGTATAGAAAAGAAAAGATGAACTAGAGCAATGGTGGGAAACCTGTGGATAAAGGGCATGAAGGAACCCACATAAAGGAAGAATCTGTAAGAGTTGATGACTGATAGATCATTAAAGGTCAGAGGCAAAGAAGCCAGAGCTGACATCAAGGTCTGAAAACCTTGTAGTACCGTAAGTGGAAATGACGGAATGAGCGTATTTCTTATGTATTGCCTAGCTCAGTGCTTTGAACACAACCATTAGCTGATAAGTGTTTATGGATTGACTAAGAAAAGTGAGTGTACCCTGGATCATTCAGGGGCTTATCTACTTTCACCTGAATCGGAGGTTGTAAAAATGGAGCAGAGTCTCACGGAGACTGGCCTTTTCCACATGACACTGTTCTGACTGCTGAGACGCATTCATTGCTTGTAGAGATAAGAGTTTATTTGGGGTCAACTAAAGTTAAGGGTATAGAGCATTAAATGATATTATGATTCACCATGCGATGTCTGATGATTTTTCACATCTGATCAGCGTGCTTAATATTGTAATGGATGGTGTTAACACAGGTAAAGCTTGTGTCCTCATCCAGAACTACACTTTAGTCTCTTAATGCCCTCCTTAAATGACCCCAAGAAATAGACATTAGATTCTATGTATGACAGAGCCATTAGTCAACTTCGATATGGCCCAGGTTTTGTCCCAACTCTGCAGTTTCGATGCTGGCTGCCTCCTTTACTTCAGATTAGGGGTGTTAGTATCTGTGCTACAGGGTTGAATACAGATTAACTAAAATAATGTGCAATTTTGGAAAACATAAGGTGATCTCAGTGTTTATCCAAGGCCAAGAATAACAGCTAACATGTGTTGAGACTTGCTACTTGCCAGGCAGTGTTTAAGAAACTTAGGAGGGGCACATGTTGTGGAACAGAAGGTTAAGCTTCCACTTGTGACACCAGTATCCTGTCCAGGCTGCTCCACTTCCTATCCAGCTTCCTGCTAATGTGCCTGGGAAAGCAGCAGCAGACAACCCTAATGTTTGGGGCCCTGCCACCTAGGTGGGAGACCAGGGTGGAGTTTTTTGGCCTCTGGCTTTTGCCTGACCAAAACTTGGCTGTTACAGCCATTTAGAGGATGAACCAACAGATGACAGATATCTCTCTCTCTCCCTCTCTCTATTGCCCTGCCTTTCAAATAAATAAATAATTAATTAAATAAATCTTTAAACTTCAGGGTGGGTAGTGTGTGAGTGTGCATGTCTGTGTCTCTAAATTTCCTTTAATCTTCACAAACAATGCTCTTACATAAGCTCTACTGAAATCTCTATCTAGGAGATGATGAGATTGAAGCACAGTGAAATTAAGCAAACAGCCTGATATGGTGCAGCCAGTCAACAACTAGCCTCACCTCCTGACTCTCTGCATTAGTGAGGATGTAAGAAATGATGCCACTTGGGACCAGCGCTGTGGCATAGCAGGTAAAGCCACCACCTGCAGTGCCAGCATCCCATATGGATGCCGGTTCCAGTCCCGGCTGTTGCACTTCCAATCCAGTTCTCTGCTATGGCCTGGAAAAGCAGTAGAAAATGACCCAAGTCCTTGGGCCCCTGTATCCACATTGGAAGACCTGGAGGAAGCTCCTGGCTCCTGGGTTCAGATCAGCTCAGCTCCGGCTGTTGCAGCCAGTTGGAGAGTGAACCAAGACCTCTCTCTCTCTCTCTGACTCCTTCTCTCTCTATGTAATTCTGACTTTCAAATAAATAAATAAATCTTTTAAAAAAAAAAGAAAAAGGAAATAATGCCACCAGTATTTTCTGTGAAACTGTTGGCAGAAGTAGTATTTGGAGAGAGAAAGTGTTGCAAATTCATTCACCCTTCATAATCTTCCTCAACCATGGATCAAATTAAAGAAGAAAAACAAGACAGGGTAAGCAGTTGCAAATCCAAGATAAATGTGTCTCCATGACAGAAACCCACAATGGGAGGAATGACTAATGCCAGCGAGAGGAGGGTCTTTGGTCTAGAAGCAGGCAGTGCTGGGAAGGAGTGTGGCTTAAAAAAAGAGTGCCAACTGTAGGAAACTGGTACACAGGGGAGGAGGTGCCAGGCTGGCTGTCCACCCAGCCAGCTTGCCTCCCTGGTGCTCTGCAGGTCTCCATGTCTAGGAAGCCAGTGGAGACTGAGTTGCTGAGACTCCTGAGACTGATGGAGAGAATAGACAGGGGGCTGGATGCTCACGACTATGGGAGGCTTGTGTGCTGGGACTATGAAAACTCTGAGACCACGTGGGAGGACTCAGGGTGTGGCTGGACACTGGGCAGTCACTGCAGGAGGCTCCACATAATCAGGACTCCCTAGTTACTTGGTGAGAGACATTGCTGGGGAATCTGAGCTTATCCAGAGGACTGTAAGATCCTTGGTATGGTCCTTGTGCCAAAGCAGACTAATGATATACTCACTGGGACTAGTGCCAAGGCACTAGTCTCCTTGAAGGAGAGGAGCTCAGCTGAGTCTATGCCAACAGACAAGAAACCTACCATAGGGAAAAAAAAAAAAAAAGAGAGAGAGATTTACCATGCCAAACCTGGGTGTGTCACCTCAGATACAACCTTTACCCTGAAGCACTAAACAGAGCTCCCTGGCCACTCCCATCATACGTCTCTAGGTATTCCCTGAAAGCAGACACACCACTAATCCAATCAGACATAGTTCAAAGATAAAAGCTGCCACAGTGAAAAATCAAAGAAATGAATGAGTACCCTCACAAATGCTGAATAACAAATGCACCAATCCAAGAAGCAAGAACAAGGAAGACAATATGACTCTCCCAGAAGAACACAACACCTGAATTTCAGATTGTGAAGATTATGAAGTTGAAGAAATGTGAGAAATGGAATTCAAAAAATTGATCATAAGATTACTTAGAAATATCACAAGCAAATGCAAGAACTAATGAAATCCATACATGACAAGAAAGAAAATTTCTCCCATGAAATTGAGATCTTAAGGAGAAATCAAAATGAAATCTTGGGGGGCTGGCACTGCAGTGTAGCAGGTAAAGCCACTGCCTGCAGTGCCGGCATCCTGATGAAGCTCTTTGCTGTGGCCTGGAAAAACAGTAGAAGATGGCCCGAGTCCTTGGGCCCACGCACCTATGTGGGAGACCTGGAAGAAGCTCCTGGCTCCTGGTTTTGGATTGGCACAGCTCCGGCTATTGTGGCCAATTGGGGAATGAACCAGCAGATCAAAGATCTCTCTCTCTCTCTCTCTCTCTCTCTCTCTCTCTCTCTCTGCCTCTCCTCTTTCTCTGTGTTACCCTGACTTTCAAATAAATAAATAAATAAATCTTTAAAAAAATGAAATCTTGGAAATGAAGAATTCAATGGAACAGATAAAAAAATACAATGGAGAGCCTCAACAACAGAATCAGTAAAGCAGAAGAAAGAATATCCGACTTTGAAGACAAAGTACAGGAAATTATACAGTCAGACCAAACACAAGAAGAAGAAATTAGAAATCTAAAAAACACTGTTAAGAATCCACAGGATATTATCAAACAACCCAACATATGTGTTCTAGAAGTTCCTGAAGATGTAGAAAGAAAGGATTAGAAAGCCTTTTTAATGAAATAATAACAGAAAATTTCTCCAATTTGGAGAAAGAAAGGCGCACCCAAGTACAGGAAGCACATAGAACTCCTAATAGACATGGCAAGGAAAGATCTTCACCACAACACATTGTATTCAAACTCTCTACAATAAAACATAAAAGATTCTAAAATGTGCATGAGAGAAACACCAGATTACTTTCAGAGGATCTGCAATTAGACTCACAGTGGACTTCTCATCAGAAACTCTACAGGATAAGAGAGAATGGTGAGATATACTCCAAGTCTTAAGAGAAAAAAACTGTCAACCCAGAATAATGCACGTGCAAGCTCTCATTAATGAAGGAAGGTGAATTAAAGACCTTCCGTGACAAACAGAAATTGAAAGAATTTGTCACTAGCCATCCAGCCCTGCAGAAGATGCTTAAAGATGTGCTGCACACAGAAGCACAAAAACATAGTCATCATTACAGAAGAAGATAAAGGAAGGAAAGCTTCCAGTAAAAGTACAAAGGAAATCCAAAGTAAAAAATAGGAATATATTTGGAAAAATGGCAGGGCAAAGTCATTACTTACTAATTATCACCTTGAATGTAAATGGCCTTAACTCTCCAGGTAAAAAACACAGACTGGCAGAATGGATTGAAAAATGAAATCCATCTATTTTGCTGCATACAAGAAATACATCTCGACAACAAAGATGTACACAGACTGAAAGTGAAATGATGAAAAAAGATATTCCATGCCAACAGAAACCAAAAAAGAGTTGGTGTAGCCATCCTAATATCAGACAAAATAGACTTTCTCACAAAACTGTTGAAAGAGACAAAGAAGGGCACTATGTAACAATTAAGGGATCAATTCAAGAGGAAGATGTGACTATTATAAATGTATATGCACCTAATTACATGGCACCTGGCTATTTAAAAGAAATATTAAGGGAGATGTAGTCTCACATACAATAGTAATGGGGAGATTTCAATACCCCACTTTCAGCAATGGACAGATCAAGCAGACAGAAAATCAACAAGGAAAAACAAGCCAAAATTGACAAATGGGATTACATCAAACTGAGAAGCTTCTTTACTGCAAAAGAAACACTCAGCAAAGTGAAGAGGCAACTTACAGAATCAGAGAAATTATTTGTAAACAATGCAACTGATAAAGGATTAATTACCAGAACATACAAAGAGATCAAGAAACTCCACAACAACAAAATAAACAATCCAGTTAAGAAATGGGCCAAGGAGTTAAACAGACATTTTTTGAAAGAGGAAATCAAAATGGCCAACAGACACGTGAAAAAATGCTCAGGATCACTAGCCATCAGGGAAATGCAAATCAAAACCACGATGAGATTTCACCTCACTCCAGTTAGAATGTCTTTCATACAGAAATCAACAGACAAAAATGCTGGTGAGGATGAGGGGAAAAAGGTACCCTAATACACTGTTGGTGGGAATGTAAACTGGTAAAAACCACTAGGAAGACAGTGCAGAGATACCTCAGAAATCTGAATATAGACCTACCATATGACCCAGCCATCCCACAACCAGGAATTTACCCAAGGGAAATGAAATCAGAAAATAAAAGAGTTATGTGTACCCCCATGTTTATTGCAACTTAATTCACAATAGCTAAGACTTGGAATCAACCTAAATACTCATCAACTGAAGACTGGATAAATAAATTATGGGATATGTACCCTATGGAATACTATACAGCAGTAAAAAAGAAGTCTAGTCATTTACAACAAAATGAATGAATCTAGAAAACATCATACTTATTGAAATAAGCCAGTCCCAATGGAACAAATACCATATGGTTTCCCTGATCTGTGATAACTAATAAAGCAGCCAAAATGAAATCTGTATATCTGAAATTGACACTTTGAGAAGCAATGCTTGAACAGCCCTTGTCTTGACTGTCAAGGAACAGTTTGTTTTTTTTTTTTCTTAATAGAGAATGGGACTGGGAATGGGAGAGGGAGAAGGAGATTGGGTAAGAGTGGGGATGGGAGAGTGGGTATGATGGAAAGAATCACTATATTCCTAAAACTGTACTTATGAAATTTGTACTTATTAAATAAACAGTATCTTTGGGGAAAAAAAAGAAAATCAATTCCCCAAAATGGTCACAGGTTTTATCTGGGCTCTCACTCTATAAACTTGTTTACATGTCTGTCTTTATGCCATTAATATACTGGTTTAATTACAATAGCTTTTTAGGAGATTTTGAAGTAAAGAAGTGTGAGACCTCCAATTTTGTTCTTTTTTAAGATTCTATTTTTTACATCTTTTTTTAAACAAATATTTATTTATTTATTTGAAAGGCAGCATCAGAGAGAGAGAGAGAGAGAATCCATCTTCCATCCTCTGGTTCACTCCCCAAAAGGCTGCAACAGCCAGAGCTGAGCCTATCTGAAGCCAGGAGCTAGGAGCTTCTTCTGGGTCTTTCACATGGGTGCAGGGGCACAAGCACTTGGATCATCTTCTGCTGCTTTCTCAGGCACATTAGCATGGAGCTAGATCAAAAGTGGAGCAGCTGGGACTCAAAAGTATCACTCATATGGAATGGCTAAACCTACTACACCACAGTGCCAACCCCTACTCTGACTATTAAGAATCCCAGGAAACTCATATGAATTTTAAATGGATTTTTCTATTTCTACAAAAAACGCCATTAAAATTTTGATAAGGTAGGCGCTGTGGCATAGTGGGTAAAGGTGCCGCCTGCACCAGTTCGAGTCCCAGCTGTTCCACTTCCTTTTTCTTTCCTTCCTTCCTTCCTTCCTTTCTTTCTTTCTTTCTTTCTTTCTTTCTTTTTTTTTTTTTTTTTTTTTGTTATTCAGGGCTTAATTTTATTTCTCTTATTCAACTCCTGCATCTGTGATATAGCATTTCCATATGTCTTTTTTAACCTTTATTTAATAGATATAAATTTCCAAAGTACAACTTTTGGATTACAGTGGCTTTTTCCCCCCATAACCTCCCTCCTACCCGCAACCATCCCATCTCCCACATCTCCTGCTCCCTCTCCCATCCCATTCACATCAAGATTCATTTTCAATTATCTTTATATACAGAAGATCAACTTAGTATATACTAAGTAAAGATTTCAACAGTTTGCACCCACAAAGAAACACAAAGTATAAAGTATTGTTTGAGTACTAGTTATACCGTTAATTGCTATAATACAACACATTAAGGACAAAGGTCCTACGTGGGGAGTAAGTGCACAGTGACTCCTGTTGTTGCTTTAACAATTGACACTCTTATTTATGGCATCAGTAATCACCCGAGGCTCTTTTCATGAGTTGCCAAGGCTATGAAAGCCTCTTGACTTCGCCAACTCCGATTTATTTAGACAAGGCCATAGTCAAAGTGAAAGTTCTCTCCTTTCAGAGAAAGGTGCCTCCTTCTTTGATGGCCCATTCCTTTTAGTTGGGTGCTTTATATATTTTATTTATTGGCAGAGTGTCTTGGCTTTCCATGCCTGAAATACTCTCATGGGCTTTTTAGCCAGATCCGAATGCCTTAAGGACTGATTCTGGGCTGCTCCCCTCCCAATACAGCTCTCTGCTATGGCCTGAGAAAGCGGTAGAAGATGGCCCAAGTCCTTGGGCCCCTGCACCCACATGGGAGACCCGGAAGAAGCTCCTCCCTCCTGACTTCGGATTGATTCAGTTCCAGCCATTGCAGCCAATTGAGGAATGAACCAGCAGATCAAAGACCTCTCTCTCTCTCTCTCTCTCTCTCTCTCTCTCTGCCTCTCCTTATTTCTCTTTGTTACTATTTCAAATAAATAAATAAATCTTTTAAAAATTTTTGATGGGATTTGCATTGAATCTGTAGACAACTTTGGGTAGTGTCGTCATCTTTACAACATTAAATCTACCAATTCATGAGAATAGGTCATATTCCCACTTATTTATGTTTTAATTTTTTCCAGCAATATTTTATAGTTTTCAGTGTACAAATCTGCCTCTTTGGTTAAATTTATTCCTCAGTTTATTCTTTTTAGTGTTATTAAAAATAGAATTGTTTTCTTTCTTTTTTCAAGTTAATTGTTCATTATAACACTGTAAAATGCAACTAATTTTTATGTCTTCATTTTGTATCCTGCTACTTTCCTAAATTCTCTTAACAGCTCTAATATTTTTGTGGCAAGTGTGTAATCTTTAGGGCTTTCTACATATAATATCACAGCATCTGTGAATAAAGATGTCTTAATTCTCCCTTTCTAATTTGGATGCCATTCTTTTTCATACTTAATTTCTTTGGCTAAAACTTCTAACACCATGTTGAATATATGATGGGAAAATCAAGCATCTTGTCTCACTCCTGATTAAAGGAAAAGCTTTCAGTCTTTCACCATTGAGTATTATGGTAACTCTGTGCTTTTTTTTTTTTTTTTATCAAGCTGAGGAAGTTTCTTTTTATTCCTAGTCTACCAGGATTTTTTTGTGTGTTTGTTTTCCTCATTACATAGTGCTGAATTTATCAAACACATTTTATGCATGAATTGAAATCAACATTATAAGTTTGACCTTTCATTCTGTTAAGGAATTGTATTAAATTAATTGGTTTTCAAATGTTGAGTGGGTTCTCACATTCTAGGATTAAATTTCACTTCATCATGGTGTATAGTACTTTTAATATATTGACGAATTTAGTTTGTAGTATCTTATTGAAGATTTTTGCATCAATATTTATTGGGGATTATGATCTGTGGTTTTCTTGACTTAGTTTTGATCTCAGAGTAGTGCTGACCTTATAGAATGAGTTAGGAAATATTGTTCCCTCTTCAGTTTTGTGGGACAGTTTGAAAAATGATTGGTGTTACTTCTTGAAATATTTCACAGAATTCACATGTGAACACATTTGGTCCATTGCTCTTCTGTCGCTCCCCCATTCGCGGAGGAATGACACTGGACCCTGCGCTGTTCTTTCTGCCTGGCTCTTCCCGGGTTAGCTGCCGGCATCACTCGTGGAGGAACGACGCCGTCCTGGGTTAGCTGCCGGCCCCTCCACCTCCGTGGAGGGGCAGAACCCCCAGCCGCTTTCCCCGCTTCCATGGAGGAGCAGCACACCGCCGGCTGGCTCTCTCGGGGGCTGCTCAGATGCTCCTCAGGTGTTCCTGGTGCATGTTGTCTCTCTCCTCCTTTATAGTCCTCTTTCACCAATCCATGCTCTGCTGCCCACATGCCGAGCACGCTGCTCTCCTCCAATCAGGAGCAGGATCAGCTCCTGCAGTTGATTGGTCGAACTGGAGGCAGCTGCGTAGAAGTTGTTTGGTCTCTCTCTCAGTGCCATATTGTGGGAGATCAGATGCATAGAATAAGTCTTAATTCCAGTAACTTAGTCTAGTCTCAGTTGCTCCCCACACTCTTCTTTGTCGAGAAGCTTATGATTACTGATTCAATCTCTTTGCCCGTTATTGATTTTCTATTTTTTCATGAGTCAGTTTTGGTGGATTTCATTTTTTGAGGAATTTGTCCATTTTATCTATATTATCCAAATTGTTGATGGGAAGTTGCTGCCAGTATTCTCCTGTAATTCTTTTCATTTCTTATAAAATCAGTAGCAATGTCTCCAGTGTTAATTTCTTATTTTAGTAATCTGAGTCTTCTTTCCATTTTCCTTAGACAATCTAGCCAAAGGTTTGTGAATTCTACTGATATTTTCAAAGAAACAACTTTTGATTTCATGGTAATATGTTTATACTTATAAATATACCTGATAATATAAGAGGTACTTGGTTCATAATGTTTTGGGGAACCATATTTGGTTTTCATAATTTGACAACTGCTTATTTATGTTTTCCTTATAAGAGTATAAGCTACTTTTTTAGCACAGTTATAATAGGTGCTGAATAAATTCACTGTTAAATGAACCAATTAATTTAATAAGTTATTAAATTAGTGAATTGTGAGCTTTAAAGAGGTTTTTTTAAAAAAAGAAATGCAGAGGCATGGGGTTATTTGAGGTAAATGTTCAAAGTCAGCCTTATATACTGAACACAATACTTAACTGTGTGAGTTTTTGCTCATTTTTTTTCCTTTTTTAAAACAACAAACAGTATTTGCAGCGGTGTCTATTTTTAATGCCTAGGTTTTACTGTGTCCAGAGTTCTCCCTTCCTGTCTTTGATGCCTAATCCCCTTTATCTGTAGCCAGAAAATAAATCCTAGCCCCATCAAGAAACACTGATTTTCCCAACTTGCACTCCTGTGCTACCTGAACACATCCGTACTGATGTCTCTGTTAATCCTCAAATCCAAGCTGAGTCTCCATTTTCCGTAAAACCTTGCATTTGGGGATCGCAGCTAAGTCATTCAGACATAAAGGAGTCTGTTTATACAGTGTACCTCAAAAAGTTTGTGAAAATCATTAAAAGATAAGTTTATTTTGGTGTGAAAATACTTTGAAATTCACAAATAATTTTTCATAACATACATTTTTTCATGAGCTGTTTGAAAACCTCTTTGAAAACGGATTTGAATTTTTTTACACCAAAGAAATTTAAGTTTAAATTCCATTTCCCATGAACCTTTGGAAACATTCTTGTAAAATTAGAATGGTGTCTGGTTAATTGCAAGGTCTCTTCCATCTCCACCAGTCCATGGTTCTGCTGAAGATACGTTACTCTGCTTGCTAAATTTAAATGTCAGTGAAACACTCACTTGCAGTATATTTCACTATGGACCGATACTCCTCAGGGCACTTAATGGAGGCTTCATAGAATTCACAAACTTTTATGTAAATATCATTTCTAAAATGTATTTTAAACATTAAGACAATGAAAAAAAGTCACAGACTGAGGGAAAACATTTGCAAATAAAATATATGATAAATATACTTATAACTATAACAAAGATTTCTATACACACATACACTCCAAAAAGGAGTCTTCCTTCCTTCCTTCCTTCCTTCCTTCCTTCCTTCCTTCCTTCCTTCCTTCCTCTCTCTCTTATATAAAAATATCTTTTGACTCTATTTTGAAAAGTAAATTAAAGAAACTATATATGGTGCTCGCTTTGGCAACACATATACTAAAATTGGAATGATACCGAGAAGATTAGCATGGCCCCTGCGCAAGGATGATATGCAAATTCATGAAGTGTTCCATATTTTTATGAATCTTGATAAAGAATGGGATGGGAGAGGGAATGGATGTGGGTGGGAGGGAGGCTATGGGGGGAAAAGCTGCTATAATCCAAAGGTTGTACTTTTGAAATTTATCTTTATTAAAGTTTTTTTAAAAATATTATATGTGTTTCTTTTGTAAAGATTTGCTTACTTATTTGAAAGGCAGAATTATGGAGAGAATATATATATATATATATATAGAGAGAGAGAGAGAGAGAGAGAGAGAAAGAAGAGAGAGAGAGAAAGAAGAGAGAGAGAGGAGAGAGAGAGAGAGAGAGAGAGAGATTGATCTTCCATCCATTGGTTCATTCCCCAGATGGCCATAACAGCCAGGGCTGCGCCAGGCTGAAGCTGGGAGCTAGGAGCTTCATTCAGGTCTCCCGCGTGGGTGGCATGGGCCCAAGTACTTGAGCCACCTGCTGCTTTCCCAGGTGCATTAACAGGGAGCTGGATAGGAAGTGGAGCTGCCAGCACCATATGGGATGCTGACGTCATAGGTGGCTTAACCTGCTGTGCCACGATGCTGACCCCATACATGTTAATTAATAATAAGTACGTGATCAGATGTCCAACATCATTGATTTTTAGGAAATACAAATTAAAACCACAACGAGATACCTCTTCAATCAAAATGA